TCAAAACTCAAGGGTTGATTCTGCGACATTATGAACGTACACGTTATGCTGGTGATGAACTCATCTGGCTTTATGGATCTTTGTGGCAGGCTTTGAGGTTTTAGATATGAGTCACCCTTCACTCAATCAATAGACCTTTTTCATGGCAGACCTGTCACAGTGGGGAAACCACAGGTGTATTAATGATGGCTGCATTCTACTTAAGGGAGGTCCTGCTTTTTGTGCTTAGCGGGACTCTTAATGGAACCGAGCCGTCATTAATTCCACCTGAGCTCTCAGCAGTGTGACAGGTCAAAATGTCTGCAGGAAAATGGCTCTATTCAGAAAACAGTGGAGGAATGTGACTAAAAAGGCTGCGTTCGCTGGACTTAAAGGTGCACTAATAAGTATTTCAAAACTGTAATGCAGCTTCTTGCCTGCCAAGCTCGAAGGGAATGTTCCTGCAACGTTGGCTACCTACAAGTTCCAATCATGTCTGAAAGAAAAATAATTTAATCTAACGTTCACGTTACATTTTGCATTAAATACTGTTTCCGTTCATTTTAAAGGGAAAAACTTTCAGAGAATGTTTGGAGGATGCTCAGGGCCACGGAGTATGTTACATGATGGGAAAGGAAGGGGAGAATGTTCTTACGTCAACATTCAACAAATGCATAAAATATGTTCTCAAGGCCTCAGATGACGATCACACAATGTTTCACTATGTGAAAGGAAGGACACATTCAGTGCAACATTTGGAAAACCTTTCAAGCCATCATATGGTACAGAACATTCCTGGACCTTGAAAGCAAGACTAGAACTTTGCAGAAGCTTCTCAGAATGTTTATAGAACATTAAGCATCTAGCTGGAGATGTATCACTCAAATGTTCAGTCCCATTTCGCGTAACTGGGCTTTTTAACGTATTTTCAGTCATTGCTTTGGTTTGGACGTCGACATGTACATGTGGCAACTGGAGAGAAGATACTGGTGGAGACCAAAACAGAGCAACAAGGGTTTTGTAATGAATATTAATTTTTCAAGTCATCCAAACCCCAGAAGAGTGGTAATTTTGAGTTGTATCTAGGCAACTGGGACAACTTTATAGTACATATCTCAGTGTTGGGTTAACAAGTGGCCAACAAAGTTAATTAAATGTATTGTACTTCTGGGTCCATTACTGTTGCAGTACTTTGTATATTTTATGAGTGATATGTGAATGGAATATGCAAATGCAGTTGTCATACATGTAAACCCCTTGAGATGCCAAAACCTTAAATTCATACTAAGTGCAATGAGCTACGGCTTTAAAAGTCATTTGTTAAGAGTTTATGGATTCATTTTAAACATCACTGAGGTAAAATGTGGGCTTTCTGGGTTGTTACAAACATTCAGAAAATAAGTTTTGCAAACTAACATTGAGCATCTAATATAGTACTTGACTGTTGCCGTCTTGGTGTCTTGAAACCAGATGGGGTGAACTTCAGGAAATGCCCAAACACCTACCCGGCTTTATCGTCTATTTAATTCTAAGTGGGACCATAACTTACTAAATAACCATCATGCTGTACTAAAGGAGGCTTGAAACTAACAATTGAGACCATAAACTCTTTAGGAAAATGTTTACAGAGGAAATAGTTTAAATTAGAAGTAGGCTCATTTTCTCATACATTTCTTTTTATAACCAGAGATGTCGCCGCCCTGCTGGCCATTAGAAAGATTCCAGATAATTTCTACTTTAGCTTCAATTTCCTGACCCTGAGGCGACTTTAATCATTTATATACAGTCGATGACTCAAACACACTACGCTGAAAATGGCTTTAAATAAAATGCAGTGAGTTCTTCCTCCATGACTCTAAGACTCACAGATTGACTGTTTACCGGAAAACAAACTTACATCTGACATTACAGTTAATTATTAAACAACTGCAGGGTAATAACGCGGCGAGTCGAATGCTTCAGTTTCCTTTGAATCGTCTCGCTTACGATTCAGTATGGATTATACCGTATCTTGTTTTATGCTGAAATGGATCCTGGAGGAATACGAACAACCAGCTGCAGCAGATGATTTATGATGATGCACAACTAGTCTCTTCTCAGTGAACAAATGAGTCTGCCTCAAAATGGTTCCTCTCAGCATTTCCAATAGTCTCGTCCGGTGCAGTGTGCATGCATTTGGGGGGGGGGGGATCAGCTCGCTTAATGACAACGGGACCATCTTCAATCCGTCATTACTTAAGGCCTTGTGATTAGTAAAATGCTCATCAAAGTCATAGTGGGAGCAAAATGCCCAGGTGATCTTGATACAATCAATCAAATTGACCGAACCACAGCGAGAGTGTGTGCACACAGACACACACTAACTCTCCCCGTCGACTGAGCTTTGTGTCAGCCGTAAGCTCTTTCCATTAAACCTGCGCTGCATTAAGCATTTGGGTTAAAAGCTTTCATAATCAGGTGTGTTCTCATTTAGGGCACAGAGATTTCCAAGATCAATACTGTCCTTGACGTGAGAGCTTTGCCCACTGTGTGTGTAGGTGTGTGTGGGTGTGCATGTGCAAAAGGACCTCAGAGTCGGAGCTTTGGCCCGAGTGTGTATATATATATATATGTGTGTGTGTGTATGTGTCATGTATTTGCCCCGTCTGAGTGTCTGTTTACTGTTTTCTGTCTGCGGGGGCAAACTGTTTCCTACTGCGTTCTCTTTATTCTCTGTTCAAGAGAAACTAACAGTGGTGTCCTGTAGATACTGCGGTTGTTTTTCTGGCTGACGCCTCCTCAGTTGATCCCGAGGTCCACTCTACAGACTGCTACTGCAACAAATGTAGAGTCAAAACCCATTAATGAGCGCAACACACACACACACAGACATCTGCTTTGGTCTGCTTTCCCTTTTTGCTCGTGTATGTTGGAAACGCATTCATCTTAATTTCTTACCAATTCGGATGAATCCACAAGGAGCTGTCTGTCCTTCAACATCCCGCCACCTGTTTTCTGTGAAAAATTTGTCAAAAAAAAATAAGCGAGCGGTTCACGCTGAAATCACAGTCTGCACACCAAATTGCTCTGTCTTGTATAACACAAGAGGGAAAAATTAGAGAAATGTTTCTCTCCTCCGCCTACCTCATCTTCAACCTCAAACTTCATTTCAAACAAGTCAAATAAAGAAAACGTCTTGTTAAACTGATATTTTTGCAGCTCGCGTTGTGCGTGTTCGCTCGTGTTTATGAGCGCCAGCCCCGGTGTGTACTTGTGCGTTTGTTTGCAAGTGTGTGGGCGTTCAGGGACTTTTAGAAAAGTATGCCGGCAGCAGCGTTTTTACAAATGCCTCCTCTGCATTGGGATCAATACGTTAGGCCTTGAGGGGGGGTTGAGCTTGACCTATGTGAGCACTTTTTCATAATCACTTATGTCTTGAAAAAATGCGGTTTTCTCTCCATAGCGGTGCTGTGATGTGTTCTATTTGACTTTTCTATTTGCTGTTTGCAAATGAAAAAGAGACATGCTGTATGGACAGATAAAACGGTGCTGGGGATTTTTTAATTAAATGCTGGGAAAAAAGCAGGGTGAAATGACAACACTAGGAAAAAATAAAGAGAAATGTCATCGTTCTCTTTAAGGCCTTTGCTGTTGGTCTGTAAATGCAGACTTTTATAATGGTATGAAATGTCGCAGGATAAATTATGTTATGACCAAGTGGGGTTTGCTTCTCTTGATATCTAGGACACGTGTTATGTTAAATCGATGCAGAAAAGGTACAGATTGCTGCATAAATTCACCAGAATGCAGGAAAATTACGTGCTGGATGCTGAGAATTTCCCAGGAGAGGACACCCACACCTCTGCTCAATGCGTCTCTCCTAATGTTTAAATGAAATGTGACAGGAGGTAATCCAATCTAACAGTAACAGTAGCAGTTACCATCACCATCCCTGACCCCAGATTCATCCACCATCTGACTTTGCAAAACTAAAACCAACCCATAAATCGCTTGTTGAAATATTAGTTATCATCAAGCCGACTAATAACGTCTTCACCCCCTGACTCGGCCAAAGGTTTGTGTCCTCACAGACTGGGATGCCTTTATTCCCAGCAGCATTCCACTGCAGCAGGCCTTGGCCCTGACAGAGCAGTCTGTGATGGCTATGTTCATTGTTCATGCGCTCAATAGGCAGCACATGGCGTGGGCCGCAGTCAGTGGGGCTAAATTTGTGCCTCTCTGCTCATTCCGGGGATATTTGCGACTTGCTCCTTGTTGACTCGTTGCGCTCCTTGCTGACAACGGGTCTCTGTGTGTGTCACAAACGGCTAAATCCAGCCAGCTGTATGCAATTAGGATGGGCATGGTGCAGCGCTCCTCTGTGAATCATCAAGTGGCGGTGATGGACTGATTTATGGTCAGCCAAAAAAATTTGTGTGACACATCGTCATAAATTAACCTATTGCCACTTCATTATCACATATCTCTAAGGGGCGAATAAAACCTTGCATCGATGCCACTATATTCCGAATAATCAAGAGTATATACATTTTTAATATTATCTAATAAATCATGGCTCAGAGGAGGTTGGATTTGAGTGGAATTAAAGTGTTAGAACTAATCTGGATTAATTCAGTGTGTGGCAGAATAAGCTGTAATATGTTTTTATCAAATGTCTTTTAATGTTTTCATCTTGTCGACTGCAGGCTACTTTGACAGACAGACGGGCACTGGTTCATAAATCAGTGGCCACATCTTTTCCCCCAGGGAGATTCACTGTTGTTTCCTAGGTAACAGGCGCCCCCCGTCCCCCCCTCCCACCCCTACCCTTGGTTTCTCTGGACTGTACCACCTCCACTGTAGGGTGGGAATTGCCTTGTTTGTCGAATAGAAGTGGATTTTCACGTGAAAACTGACAAAACGCAACGCGGCGTCATCATTCAACCGCGTTTTGTTTTATTTCTTAGCTAAGAATTACCCAGAGCAGCCGATAATAAACGCGTTATTACTGTTTAGACCGCCGTAGTAACCCCCCCGGAGAAGCGCACTCAACATTTCCTCGAACTGTCAAAATCGCTTGTTGCTTCCTATCCTAGCCTTAAAAGTAGTTAGCGAGCTAGCGTGTAGCGAGTGATAGCGTACTTTCACTGAAATCTGTTTCTAAACGCGGAAAAGTTTGCTGCCGGTGAGAAATAGTGACGGGTGTCAGTCGGAGAGCGTTTCTGCCGTCCTGTGCCGAACCGCGAGTCCCGCTCCAGCCGAAATAGCGCTCTCGGGGAAGCTTTGGTGGCGGCTGAAGTGCAGCTGGATGTGACAGGTTCGTCATCAGGTAAGCTGCAGGTAACGTTAGCTTAGCAGGTAACGTTAGCATCCTGTAGCACTTCTTTACCCAGTTGTTATGGCGTTGTGGCGGATGTAGGGAGTCCTTTGGCAGCAGGGGTGGCTAAAATTGCTCCTAATGATGCTACCCCAGTCTCACAAACATGATTCGTGCCTGGCTGGGTCGCCATGCTAGCTCCCAATCACTGCCCGGATGGCTAATGAAAACAAGTGCTTCACAAAAACAAAGATTAACATCAGCATACATTACGAGGTCCTCGTGTATCTCCTCTTGTCTGGTTGCTTTCTAGGACATATTACTCGCTGTTATGAAGTGGCTCATGACCTGGTGAAATCTTCTGGGGATAGGTTTGGTAATAACACATATATTAGTAATTCCACATGTGGTTTGTTTAAGCCATGATGTGGCATCATTGTCATTAAGTGCGTGCACATCCCCTCCCCCCTAGGTACTGCATGCCATTACTTTCAAATGCAAATTTTAAAAACACAATAAATTAAATGTTACCTTAATCAATGGATTGTTGGGTTTAATTGCAGCGTACAAGACAAAATAAAGCAGCTCTAATGAGACATAATTGGAGGCACATTTTAATCTACAGCATTCTCTCCTAAGCAAGAGCCATTACACCTTGGTGAGGTTAATAAGTTTTGATCAGGCTCTCTACTAGGTCATGTACAATAATTGGTCCTTCTGAAAATGCAAAATAGCTACATCAGAATAGAATTGTACCAGTAGAAGACAAGCAGCAGACCTAGTTTTCAAATGGAGTATCAATGTAATAACGTAAAGTGCACCTGGGCTCGCCATTTGTATGGAATATATTGTGTAATTAAGCAGTGATACACTTGAGTAAGACATAATACTCCATGGCATGCTGTGATTGCTAGAAAATGGGCTTTGTATAATCAGAAATGTAACGTTTGGGCAATAATACTGATCGTGTTAGCATCACATTGACCTACAGTAAATAACTTGTGTTTGAATGGATTAATTTAAATGACTTTTTTTTTTATCATTGCATTTGAAGAACGTCCCGCATTGACCTTGCTCCCAAATACACTTGCTTGGGCATTAAGCACTTGTTTATTCCATATAATCATGTGGACTGGGTGTGTGACAGACTTACCAGAATGGGCTTCAAGCGGAAGGAAGCACAACTATTTGCTGCTTGATATTTGATTACGGCTAATAATAGAAAAAGACAGCTGCCTTTTCATTGATCTGTCTTCAGTGCCCTATTTCTGAGCCCTGTTTTTTTTTTTCCCTCTCTGTCGCGTGTAGCTATCCAGTAGTAATCGCACGAAATACACCGCACGGAATTCAAACAGATTTAACCCTTCAAGTCTTCATTTTCGGTAATTAGCCATTCTTCCAGATTACGCCTTTTGTGTTTGAAAATGAAGCCGCTTTGGGCCACAGAATGCTAAATCTGGTTGTGTGAGAGTGAGCCAAACCGTTTGGGGTCAGACAGGACAGGGATAATAAGAGGGGAGGGGATACCATGTGGGAAGGAAGTAGCTCAGCTTGTTTGTCTGCCAGGCTTTTGTTTGTTTTCCTGTCGGACAAATCTATTTAGGAGGTAGACTATCTGAGGTCTGCCAGTGGAAATTAGCAACAAGCAGGTCTTGTTATACAGTTATTGACAGTTATTCAGTAATGCGGTTATTGAGAAGTTGATTGCAGCCAAATGAGAGATTGATAAGCTTCATCTATCAGCACCAATGGAGCCTGCTGTTGTTGTGGATATTGAGTGTTTTTTTTTTAAATTTTGCAAGTCAAGTTTCATCCTGCTGTGATATAGTTGTTGCCGTCTGGGAGCATTCCTGCTCATTTAATCTCTTGCATCTCTGTACATGATACAGCGGAGTGAGACTACATTCACTGAAGGTGTAAGGTGACACTTTTGCTTTTCACAATGGCTGATATTCCCCGCCTCCCTCTTCATGCCTCGTGCAATGGCAGAGTGCTTGTCTGTGTTATTTCCCTACAGGTGCCCTGATGCCTTAGGATGACGTCAGTGTTCATGCTGAGGTAGACACTTTTTCATGCTGGAGAGATTAATCCCCCCTCCAACCCCCATCTCCCCCAAAAACATTTGACAAATGTTTTGCCGGTGGAGCATCAGATTATATATGGCGATCAAAGCATAATCAGACAGTAAATAGGTTTGTTTATCGTGGAACTGCAAAGCGTGTTTATCCTCATTGATGTCAACGAAACACCCAGGCTGCCGCGTCATTCACAACCTTTGTATGAGACAGAGGCAGAGTGTGAGAGAAAGAGGGAGACAGACAGAGAGAGAGACAGACGGTACAGCTGTTCTATTGAATCTGGATCGAAAAGTCATGAAGCTGGATCTCTGACTCATCAGTTCTGTGACGCTCCGGTTTCACGGCTCATATGATGCCAGCCAGCATGTCATCAGCCGGGTGGAGGGGAGAGGACGGGCAGCTGGGGGGAGGAGACAAACCAAGACCTCTCAATCCTAGCCACCACCATTTTTATTTTTTTTTCACGTCTCAAGCAAATTCTGATGCAATAACAATAACAGAAATGTTCCACTACTGTGTAATTTTCCAGTCCAGTAAACTAAGGAATTGGATTGAAATAGAGCTTGAAAGATAGCTTTTGGAATCGTGGTAAAACATACAGGTGAGGGATGAAGAGGGGAGGAAGAGAAAAGAGATGAGTAAGAGAAGAGGAGGAGGAGGAGGAGGAGAGGGGTGTCTGGATGGTGGTGGTGGATGAGTTTAGAGGACGGATGCTGAGGGGAGGTAGAGGAGAATCGGGAGGGGGAGGAGGTGTAGGGCTCCTGTTTCCTGGGGGGATGGTGTTAAATGTGATGATAGAACATAGACAAGGACAGAGCTGATATTTAGTATGCAACTGCAGCAACACTTCGCTCTGTTGGACGGCAAATCCGTCTAGACTTTATATTCTCGGGCTTGTTTTCTATTAAAAACAGTGCATGTGGTGAGGACTTGAATTTTAATGTAATCAAATTCACCAGGATAAGCACGGAAAGAGATTAAATAATGTGATAGCTAGTTGAGCAGAGCATGAAATTGGGGAAATACCTTTTAAGATCAGCATTCAGGGGTTGTTACTGTAAGCGCAGTTTTCGCCCCATCACTTAGTCGACTCTCTTCCAATGGAGAGGCACAGAAAGCTGTGATTCAAAGTAGCCGTCTTCTCATTGGCTGGGGCTGTTAAGAGGCAGGGCCCTGCCACAGGCGAGTGGGCAGGAAGGGGCTGGCTTTAGGGGTGTGTGGGGGGGGTTGGCTGGAAGTGTTTCAGCCAGATAGTTGGAGTAGACACTCTTCTGCTTCCTGCCTGCCTGCCTGCCTCGCTCGCTTGCTCTGTGGCTGAGAGAGACATTGAGAGAAAATCCCTGTCTAGGCATGGACCTCCGGCTGCAGCACTCGGCAGCTCGCGAGGAATGACAACAGTTCACATGGTCATTAACTCCAGTCGCTGAGGCTGAAGGGAGAGCTGCACTGTAGCTCAGTGTCACAGAAGCACCGGGTGCCTCCTGTGCTTGGGACAACTGACAGACAGAGGCACACAGCAGAGCTACCGGACCCAGTGAAACGAGGTGGGAAAGAACCGTCATATTGGCTGGCTTTTTCTCTTTCTTTTTTTTTTTTAAAGATTTTTTTTTCAGGAGTTTTGCTGCAGTGTGCTGCATACCAGTCTGGGTGGGGAGGGACCAGAGGGAATGTTTTATCTGTGTGAGAGAAAGAGTGTGTGGCTCAAAACGAGGAAAAGGCGAAGTGGAAGGAAATATGGACAGAGTGGGATAACTGCAGAGGAGCACTGGGAGCTTGCAGCCACGCAGTCCTCATTGCAGTTTCCAGTCCGGTAATGGACTTTCTGTTTCGAGTCCTGAGGGAGAGGCATTATCACAGCAGCTGACTTGCCCCTTCCTCAGTACAAATGTCAGGAGCTTCTTTTTTTGCCACATGGGCTACATATTTTTCACTGTCTAGAGAAAAACTCGCGTGGCATCTACCCCGTCACTGCTCGCTTTGTGTGGCTTTTCGAAAGTTTCCCCTTTTTAACTCTTGACGCGCAAATTTTCCAAATAACAACGGCTAGCTACATGCGGAGGTTATTTGTACAGAACGGGGTCTGATGTTTCTACGCTCCTCACGTATGTGGACACAAATAGCTGATGGCCTGAATGAGCTGGAACTTCACAGTTCTAATAAGGCCCATATCCTAGTTAACCCTTGAGTTAGATGGGGCATAGTTGACGTGTCCCCAGCTTTCCGCTGTCTGTCTAGATTTAGCTTTGCACCGGGGCCTGGTGCGGTCAAGCAGTGGACATCATCGCCTGCATGGAAAAGGCCAGAGCGGTGTCATACGTCTGGCTGTAGATCAAGGGGAAGTGGGTGTTTTCTAAAATGGAACATCAGTCCAGCCCTTCCTGTTGAGAAAAGAATAGGCCTAAATGTCAAACAAGCACAGGATTCTTACTGCCAGACTTTGGACAATTCACTCTCATGTAAATTGTACCTCGAGGTGGTATTAAAAGGATTTCGTGCTTTGGAGGTTTTTACAGACATCCTCTGCATGAAAGAGCTAGTGTGATTGCTCTGTGACACAAGGGTGAGTTTGCTGAATCATTCGGCTCTTATGTTTTCAAGTGCTGTAGTTTGAAGGCTCAAGATTTTTGATTTATTTGATGTTTTATACCTAATATCTCAATGCACAAGAGCTTCAATCTAATCTAATATCCTCTGCGCTTGATGCCATGATACAGTGGAACTTGTGAAAACAGTTTTGCAGCTTTCAACGCAGCCTTGCATTCAGTAGGTTTGGATGTCTTGTTTATCACTATATTTATTGGAATGGCGCATTTCACCTCTGGCTGCGTTGTAATTAGTTGATGACTTGCCTGTGGTTAACCAGGGAGCAGACAGGTTCACCTAAACAGGAAAACAAATCCATCCAGAGTGCAGGGGTTGATGTCAATGAGATATACCGAAACTTTCACATGCTTTAATTAAATAATTATGGAAAAGAAACATAGCAAATACATTTTGTGCGATGAAACAAATGAGGTGATGAAAGCTTGGTCCCATATCATAATCAGGGCTATTCGGGTCACTGTGGTTTAGCTAAGGCTATTATGATATGGGGCACGCATACCTGCTGACTCTGAGAAATGCTTCTTGTGTATGTATCAGTAGCTTAGTCCTGGTATAGCCTCTGCTGAGCTCACTCACCCATCCTTATCTCTAATGGTACTTGATGATGCTGAACTCAAGGATCCATAGCTTATGCCAAAGACAATTTCATAAGCATCGCAGCTTCTATAGTATTAAATACGAATTAGGCTACAGGCTATATGGCCCTGCCCTGATCCTCTCTGGAAGATGCAAAGGAACATTTTGCAAGCTGGTGATGTCATCCTGAAAGCCAGGTTTGTTAGGGATGGAGAGCATTTTGATAAAGCCTTAACTATAAGGCACACTCATTTTCCATGAGTCACTGGAAACGGAACATTTTCCTATTTCCCCTCTACAATGAGGCCCTCTCTCCACAGCCTTGAAAAACATTGACCACTTGTTCCTCTTGGCCATGCAAATGACCATACAACTGTGGCTTGCCAGCATAAAATGGTAATAAATGGAAATGAAGCCACTCAGGTACCCGACTCGTGCGTGTGTCCGTCACAGTCATTTGTATTTTTTTTTTAACTTTATTTTGCTGGCAACACCTGGCCGATGCCACGGTAAACGTTGTCACAAGCTTACGACCAACAGAAAGCAGGTAGCTTATCGTCTCTGCTGAACAAATACAAGCAGCCAAGATAAACTGCGCCGCACAGCCAGAGCGCACAGATACCAGACTAATGGGTTACATACGTGGTATTCAGAGGTCAAGCCAATGACTTTCACTCGAGACACCCCAGTCCCGCTGACTCTCATTCAATTAAGCAGACTGACCAAGATAATGCCCCTGCCAGCTGGCCTTCGTAAGCGTCAGTAATCCATAAAGTCTAGTACTGTGGTGCTTTTCTTCACATCTCTATCCTGCTTTATCAGGTCATCCTGTCTGTCCACTGTTTGTACAGGACACAAAGGGGACAAAGTCTTTTTGCACGATCTCGGGACCTGAAGATTAATAGGATAATGTGCAGAATGTTTTGGTTGTATTTAAAATGTGTGCCCTGCCTAGCTCGTACTGGATAGATGAGATTATTAGTAGGAAAGTGACGAAGAAGTGGACAGCCATGCTATAGGTATGGGAGTTATGGCATCCATTTCATTAGAGCGACACTGAAAAATAAAGTAATTCTATGATGTGAGGGTCAGATTTTGAGACAAGTTCTTCACTCAGACTCTATTTCAGTAGAATGTGAAGGTAGCCATGCATTTCTTTGCTCATGGAAGGATGCAAACCTGCAGAAACAGAGTCTGGCTCAGCCTTGAGGACTGAAATGTACCACAATAAAATCTTTAATTTCGACCTATTTTTATGAAGGAGCAGGAGAAAAAAAAGTTTTATTTGAATTTAACCACTTTGGCCTATCTATCAAGGTGCAGTGGTAATACTTTTAACACAACAATGACAGAAAATACAGACAAATAGTTACATTTACATACATAAAACCGAGACAAGGATAAAGGAATGATTTCACTTTGACGTACAGTGAATAAGGAAAGCAAGTTAATGCTGCTGGGAGTGCAACGCTTAGACAGAGGTGGTGGTAGGGGGGCATGGAGTTGGTCGATTTTTTTTTGCCCTGAAGCACGTCTTGCAGGGGTCTGTCGACTAGCATGCCTCGGGAGACCTTTACAGGAGCCAAGAGAGGAACCAAGGGCGAAGGGCTCCATTATCAAGGAATATGATGCTGCTTATGAGCGAAGAAGGGGGCATGCTTTGGGTTTCTGCATGCAGCTGACTTGTGCTTTCCTGGCAGTTTACATCCAATGCATTTAAGGGAAACATTCCATCCAACGCTACTGATGAAGTGTCTATTGCCAGTGCATATCATATTATTATTTTAGTCTACAGAAGGGCTTATCTCTGACGTTTGAGTAGACTCTTATGCAAATTTGTAGCTTGAGATGGTTTTTAAAAGGATTTAGTGCCTGGTTGGACATCGAGCTGTATGAAGGAGCACTCAAAACACGCCGTGTGGTTGTTCCCTACCACTCAGTGTATACTAAGCCACGCTGCATGTAAATGTAATGCACTGGCATTGTCTGAACTAGCCATATGTCCAAGCATATGTCCAGCCAGCCTAAACTAAAACTGCATGCACTGCAGCTGACTTCAGCTTGAGTCTTCCTAAGTAGTCATTATTGCAAAGCACTTTTCTCCTACTCTGTGTTTGAGTTACCATAGCTCTTAGGATGGGATGTTATTATATGACAGAGGTAAATGTTTTTTTCTCCAGGACGACCGTTTTCTTTCCAGCGGGGCTTTGCAATGTCTCAAGGCTGTAACAGAGCTCAGTAGGACTGCTAAGAAAGTCCAGCTTTAGCTTGAATGGCATTGCAGCTTTATTATACTGTTTGATATCCAGTTTTTAAAAAAAGCTAGTTTGATGGAGCACATGTGCAATTTGTTCTAAACGTTACTGCTACGGCTGCATTTGTTGACAGTTTTCTATATTAATTTAACTATGAGGACTGATGTCGCCCAGCTACCAAACATTTTCTTTACTGTTTTTTCATAATAATTGATTCAAGCCTAGTTTATGTGCAGATTTTGTGCATCAAAGGAAAAGTACAGCGCCTAAATAGCGCTTAAATTCCTTCAGGATACAGACTATACCGTATGGGAACAAACATGTGGTCTTGTTCCAGCATGTTTTTTTTTTTATCTGACTTACACCCACATAAGGGTCCTTTTGATCTGCAGTGTTCACCATTTGTTTTGAATATCTTTCGTGGCAAACATTGTGTGAACGTTGCCTGTTGAGTCCCCTGTGAACTCCTCAGATGACCCCGACCAACTATTATCCACACTGTCAGTCTGTTTGATTTTTATAAAAGCTCTCAGCGCTTGTAAACCCCCGTGTTCTTTATGCAAATACAAAATAGAAAAATGATGGATGATTGTGTTTCCCGACCATTTTAGCACGACTCGCTCGTCATTTGAGGCCGGTCGCTTTACACAGAAATGGCGCCGTCGTCCCTTCGCACACTCTGACAAAGTAGGTTAGCTTGATCACAGACTTCTTATGGCTTCTAAAAATAAGAAGGGATTAATTGTTAAAGGTCAGATCTGACATGATTCTTACCTGACTGTCTCTTCTGCAGCGATTTGTTCTCTCCCTAGGGAGATGATGTGAAATTAAATCCTGCCTTGGAGAGTGGAGCTCGGGCGTCAGTACGATCGGGCGAGGAAGCTTCTGATCTCATTTCACATGATCAGCACTAAAGTGGGACAATATGATTAGCTAGACAATGGTCTAAATTCATAGGCTAGAAACAGTATAGGGTTGGCGGGTGATTTCAAGGGGAAGCATCTTTCTGCCATTAGTTGTCCGAGAAAAAATTGACCCATCAGTGTGACCGAGAAAAAGCATCCATCTGATAAGTCATTTAAACGTCTGGTTACATGGTCTTATCTGTAAACTGTTTCAGAGATTCTTGCTTTGATATTTCAGACTTCAAAGAAAACTACAAACAGAATTCAGAGGACTCTAGTTAGAGAGGCCAAGTGCATCTAACAGGCCAAGACAAAGGATGATGTACAATTCTGAGCTCAGTTCTGATAACACCTGAGGGACTGTACATCTGTCTGGAAACTGTTTATGTGGGAAGGGGCTTCTTAAAACAGTAGCACATAGGGGTGTACAAGTCTCAACTTGCCTTCATTAACAAGTGGAGCTTGCCATATGCTTTGGGAGGTTGGTGAAGATGCTGTTCTCATGATATATAACCTTTTCTGTGTGTGTGTTTCTTGTCTTGTCTGTTTTCCGTAGATAGGTTTGTATGTATGAAACAGTAAAAGGGTGATCTTTAAACCAGAGCTCTAGATTTTTACAACTCTCTTCTCTCTCCTCCCTCGGTCTGATGTCCTCAACCCCTTTTCCCGCCCCCAGTTAGCAGAAAAACATTTCCAGATGTGCCAAGGAAAGAGCTCCCTGCGCAGTAGCTTAGTAATGGATTTCGTACGCTCGAGCTAAAGGTCACTTCCTCAGATTGTTTCTCCACCAATTGTCCCCCCTCTCTCCCTCTAGACAGCGACCAGACACGGGGACCACTGCTGATACAGGTGGAGGCAGGGAGCACATGCATACATTCATCCCATGAATGTAAATTGACAGGCTGCTGTCAATGAACCGGTACCTAATTTGGATGGTGGGAGACCAGAGAATATTGCAGGACACTGGGCAGTGTCATAATCGTGTCTGGCACTGACATATGCATCTGTCTCGGTCCCTCTCTGGCTGCTGGACGGCTGCCCGGAATAGTGCTGCGCTGCGCGGTTTTCTATTGGCTGCACCATCCCTCCGTGCATGGTTCTACAGGGCGGGTTGGACCCTGGGGCTTTTTTCTATCTCTCCTCTGACTCCGTGCTCCTGTCCACTGTCTCATAGCACAGAGGCTTTTGCCATTCACCGCTTTGTATAGAGTAGGTTGGAAAGCCACTGGCTTGTAGTCACCCTGTACAAAGGCACACAGCAGTGACCAGGGGACTTAAACTCAAGTGGCTTCTGAATAACCTCACAACTGCCTTTTTTTCTGGTTTGTAAGCCCTGTGTCCTTTAGAGCTCGCACACCTCTGGGGCAGTATGCACACAAATTCAGATTGACATGCATAAGTAAACACTACTAATGCCTGTTGAAGCCTGTTAGATAAATTGTTACCCATCATATTAGGAGAGCCATTTTCTCACTGTAAAAATAACGTCGCTCTGTTTGGTCCTTGTCCCTCTCTCTTTCTCTTCTCCATTTCAGATCACTGACAGAAAGTGCCTTGTGAGACAACATCCCTACTTGAAGATCCTCGAGTGTTTCTGAAGAGCTCCAGATTTTGTCCTCTGCAGTCGTGACAGGACACAGCTCAGCTGCAAGCACCCCTGACCTTTGGTTTGTCCTTACCTGTGCTCTGTGTGAGGAAACTCTGAGCGAGGAGGTGGAGCTGCTGCACTGCTGGCCAAGCTGCCAAAGCTCAGAGAGAGTATGTACTGAAGAGTCTAAACAATAGAAGCCACAAACTTTGTGTTGTCCTAAACTGTGCCATTGTACCTCAAAATAGCACCACTTTTGTTCCCCAACATCCGCCCTTGCAAAGATATCATCACTCATATGAAGGACATTTTGGGGACATTAGTAAACCAGTAGAGCTTGTCTCCGAGCATGCCCCCTCTGCCTTGTCAGAGGTCTGCACCTGAGACTTACTGATTGATGAACAATTAGCTCTTTGACTGACAAACTCCACAATAACGCAATAGTGCAGTCCCATGCTCAGGTCACAGAGACTTTGCCAGACCATTACCTCCGTTTTCCCATCTGCAAGGACAAACCTCATTCACTGACCTGAAGCAGATCATTTATAGCTACATGTCCCATCAGTTTTAGTCGTTGTGTGTTTTTATTTTTTTATTTTTTTTTTACTGGAACACTCTGAAAGACCTCCTCAGAGGATAGCCTCCTCCTTAAACCAAGTGGCTCCACTCCACCCCGGCTCTACAGCCAGTGCTGTTGACATGGCTCTAAACATTGCCTCGATACGGGACACAAAATGGCTGACCCTGGAAGTGTGCCGACAGTTTCAGAGAGGGACTTGTTCACGCAGCGATGAAGAATGCAAATTTGCCCATCCACCTAAAAGCTGCCAGGTGGAGAATGGGAGGGTGATCGCCTGTTTTGACTCATTAAAGGTAAGAACTCTAAGGTCACTGCTGTGCTCTGTTTATAAAGTTTATGAGTATGAAATAGAAATAGATTGTAGAATTACTTTTCCGATGAGGTTAATTTGTTGTCATGAATGCCCGGCATACAGAAATCGTCATGGGTTCTATTTCATCGCTTTATTTCTCTTTACACAACCGCATGGAACTAAACAAAACAAACATGAATAATTAGATTTTATCTCCGCAGAACCAAAATAACATCTGATGTAAAATGTTACGGCTTTGCGCTTCCTAATGGTCAGCGGGTGTAGGCTGTCTGCTCAAATTAGCATGTGTGTCAGGTCTCCATGCTGCGCTGCAGTTAGCCCGCCAGTCTGACCTATGAAGCTAAAGGCCAGAGAGGTCTGTTGTCATGTTCACTGTCACCACAGATGTGTGTGTGTGTGTGTGTGTTTGGCTTTTTATACGGTAAGTTCATCTAGTGTTACCATGCCTTGTCCATCATCTGTACTTGTGGGCCAACATCTGATCGCCTTGAGTCGTTCCAGGGCTTCTATTCCTGGGTGCACGTCAGCTGTCACACACAACCAACAAACAACATAAACAGTCAGAGCTTGTGTTGTGATGTCTGGTTCTCACAGATCCTAGAAAAGCGTCTTAGTTCATGTGAATTTATGGATTCAGTAGATGATAAACTGCATTTCGCTGACATGAAAATCCACCAGAGACCCAGAAGCCACGTTGAAGTATTTATTTCTTTAATAATGGCCTGTAGTTTATCTGTTGACCCCCTCGTGAGAAGTCATGTTACTGCTGTACATTTGATGTTTGATGCCCTTATTATGGTGCAGTTTGCTTTTCCATAGTAGCAAAATAACCTAACACCCGACACTTTAAAGTCTCCCCAATTATAACAAGGTCGATTCACACAAGCCCCCACATGCTGCAAATAAAATAACCGCATCCAAGAGCAACCTATTATTTTCAAGCTGTGGGGGGAAAAAAAAACAAAAAAGCAGATGTGACAATGATAAATAGCCAAAGAAACTAGAGCAGAACACTGGAACTGTGAGGAGTTTGTCTTTTTTTAAGTGTGAACTGTGGCTGCGTTTCACATATGCAGCAGTATAATGCGTACAGAGTATACAGTATATCACAGTTCTCAAGGTTGTTTACGAGGTCAGCGCCGAAAGCGTGGATTTGCATGATGTGAAGAGCTGCTCTTAATTCTATTGTGCTACACTTTGCTAAACATGAAAGGTGCAAAATGGTGGACTGCATTGAACATAATCAAACTGTTGTCCTGACCTTCTTGATACACACAGCGAAGTGTGTTAAAGGCCTCTTCATTGCAGGTTGCTCGTGGTTTGTTATTTATTTGACACTGTAAAAGCGAACTGCTTTTATGGTGCAACCAGCTGCTTTCTTGGCGAAGATGTAGCTCGTAGCAAGACTTGCTCAAGTTATTGCTTGCAGTCAGCCATTGAGTGACATTCTTTCCTAGCTGCCAGATTTTGCGAGCTGTTATACCGTTATGGTTTAATGAGCAAACAGCTGACTCTAATCGGAACTGATTTGTTGTTGCGCCATGCAAGGACAGGTCTAACATGGAACCTCTGCAAATGCCATGATTCAGCGGCTCCTTGACAACTAGCCATCCCGACTTACTGGGGGTAACTAAATGACCAGAAAGCTCAGCCTCATCCGACCACAGTTCATTTAGGCTATGCTCATTGACATTTCCTATACAAACATTGGCTTTGAGGGAGTCCTCTTGTTTTATAAAATAAAGGAAGAGCCTAGGCATGCAGTGTGCACCTAAAATATCTCTCAGAGGCTGCTGTAACTGTCCCGGAGAACTCCAGGCTATTTATCCTGTATCCCTGCTCTCAGTTACCCCGAATGAGGCATCTCACTTGCTCACTCATCACCGCTCAAAAGCCTTCGCTGACAGTCGTGATGATTACATCAAGACAGAACACTTTCAGGTTTCCATGGTGTGGGCTCCAGGCCTGCTCCATTGTTTTCAAGAGACTCCATGTGTGTCCTTAAAGGATACTTGACCATAGCGACTCTATGGAGATTTTAAAAAAGGAGGTCTTTGCGATTCCCCCTGTGCATCGACATGGCAACTTCACAGCTTTTGTCTGCATCAGCTGTTGAACCACAACAGGGTGTAAACAGCCCGATATAATCAATGGGCACCTCCATCAGCTCCTTATTTGAAAGGCCAGCATGCTAGAATAGGAGCTCTTAAGGTAAACTGGGGACAGCAGTCACTCAAGCTTGGTGAAGATGCTGCAATGCCCTTTGCCTGCTGCCTGTATTGAGAAAGAATTTACAGTTTTGCAGGTTTTAGTTGCCATATTTATTTCTACACCTCTCTTAACGGTATAGAGATGCTAGTTGGTTGATTGGAGGTTTCTCTGTTGGTCCGGTAAGCACCCAGTCTTACAAGTATCATGAAAAGTGTTTTTAATGTTTGATTTTGGCATTCTAAAAAAAACCACAATAGGAATATTTCTTAGATTTACTGTCTGGATTTGGCCGTTAAGCTGCTTGTATTGTCATCTATGAATTCTGTTGCTGTCATTGAAGGCTGTTTTGGGTCAGCCCATCAGCTGAAATCCTAATGCAGCTCAATGTATAGACAAAGAGACACAATTTCTCTCTCCCCCTCTCTCTCTCTCTCTCCGCCTCTCTTCACCAAACAGCCCAGTGACAGAATACAGGATTCTCTGTACTTTTAACTCCAACTCACCCCCTCTCTCACAAAGACTTTCCTCGTGACAGCTAAGAGAATGAACGCTTTATTATGCATTAGGAAATGTGTTTCGCTCCACGGCAGGCTGATTTTCACCCCATTACGCCCGTATCATCTTCCTGGGTCTTCTCATCTGATAGGGTTATCATGCCACGGTTGTGTGCTGCCAGGCGTGACTTGGCCCAATGATCAGAAGGGTCCTTTTCATAAACACGTGAAAGGTAACGCTTAAGAGTGGAGACGACTGGGGGGGTGTAACTGTGTTTGTTGCGCTTGTCGGGCTAGCACGCCAACTCAGTGGAGAATTTGACTGTTTGGGCTGTTGTTTCCCGGATAACTTTGCAGCAACACTCCTGTGATCACAATGGCTTCTTGTTGAACCCTCATGTAGCCTTATCGCAGACTTTGCATCCCACTGCCAAAATAAAAGAATTTGCTTTTTTATCTCGGCACCGAGGTTTATTTTGGATGTATGCTCGGCCGAGCCACATAATCACTTTTGACTTTTCTTGTCTATGTTTAGCTGAATGTTTTGGGCTGCACAATGGTTAAAATAAATCTTATGACTTGATATTATGTAAATTACAGGTGTCTCTGACTCTTGGCTGTCATCTTTTGCAACGCAGCTTTTAAAAGCCGTAATTCATTTTAAACACAATGCAGCGGGACCACTCAGTAAGGCGGCTTTCATTGCTTGAGGCAAAGAGTAGAGAAGACATAAATGCCTTGTATATTTTTGCTGGGTTTAAATTACATTTGAGAGCATAATTGAATTATTACTCTTGTGTGGGCATCCATCTTTACCCATGAGACCCGAAGATGAGCCCGGCTCTTCAGATTTCTGATTATCTAAGTCTCCGGCAGGCGGTGAAGTCATCAGACCATGCATGGAAAAAGATTGAAAGAGACGTCGTGGGGTTTGAAGCAGCCGAACGGTCACTCGCCTCACCTGGCGCAGAGGAGCGACCACAAGGGGCAACGGCGATTAAAATCCCCCGTTTTGCATTTTCTGTTAGAGTGCTTTGCATTGGCGGAATGATGACGAGGACTCATTCCTGCTCGGTGTGCTCCTGCTTTCTCGATCATAAAGCTTGCAGCATCCTGACACCACGCTGCTCTCAGCATTTCTATAGTGTAATGTCTAGGGGATTATTTTTGTCCCCTGCTCTACTCTGTGGGCTTTAGAAATAGTCTCTCTATGCTACATTTGTCATCTCTCAAAATAGGACAAGCTGCTTCATCTCTGTCCAACTAAAGCTGAATTCACATTTAGTTGGTAGACGCGAGATGGTTTACAAGGTATCATTCATTCTCATTCAGACATGACATCAAAATTTCACAATGATGACCTCAGCATCAGAAGTAGCAGTGGGAGCTGTTCAGATATGTCAGCTGTTTTTAAATTTCCAACACTGCTACAAACTCATTACAGCTCAGCTCCGCTCCTTGAATCCAGAGTAGTCTGTTGTGTTAGTGTGTTTATTTTGTGGACTCATGCATTTGCAGCATTGATGACTTCATCTCTGTATCTTCTTTAGAATTAGGAAAACCAGATGCAAATTAAACGTGTTCAGACGGGTTTGGTGGCTTCCAGGCACAACATGACATTTACATGTCTTTCAAGAATGTAGATTGCGATATGTCAACATTACATTGCCTCCTACAGGTGGCTGATTTAAGCAGCATAGATGTGGAGATACATCGCCATTAGTTCATCAAAACAAAGGGCCTGATAAAAAAGCTCATTCTTGGCATTAGCGCCGTGGTCAACAAACACAGTTGTCAGTCTGTGATCTGTTCCAGCATTGTTTCCCTTCCAACTTTGACGTCGCTCGCTTCAAAACGTGATGGATAATCAATAGAAGCAGCACTGCATCTCCAGTAGCGTCACATTTGTGTCGCGGTTGAAGCCATTTCCTTTGAGCTCTTTGGTACTTGTTGCACTGTGACCATGGAAACCATGACGGAGAGGTGGTGGTGCGGATGAGTGGAGGAGGGGGGGGCTGTAGGAAATGAGCGAGAATACCCACCTTAATGGAGGAAACGCAATCACAGCAGTCATGTGATGATGTCACATCGACGGTTCGTCAGACATTAGCCTTTTGTTGACGCTCATCTCGCTTTTCTTACAATTTATTCCCCTAAGTGCTGTCTCTGAGCATGCTGACAGGGTTTTATTCCTGCCGTTTACAGTAAAAAAAACTATTTGTGGCCAAATCAGTCCTCTCAGTTTGTGTTTCACTGCAAATAGCACACACATGCA